CAGTATGTTGCTGTCAAAATTAAAAGAAATTGAAATCTTATCGTGATTTTAGAGGCATGGAGGTCTTAGATTTCTTCTTCCGCCAAATGACACTCTGTTTCCCCGGTGAATCCTAGATGGCATCATCGATGAACTGTGAGCGTTCTCTGTCGGCGGTGAAAATCCCCAAATCGAACATGCAATCGACTCACTTATTTTCTTTTCAGGCAGTCGATTTTCCTCTGTCGCAAGCGAGACTAGAGCACCTTCGTTCTCAAAACCCCCATTGATTTAATCGTGCAAAACTCATTGTTAAGCCAAAATTCGCCAACACGGGTTCAACTTGCTTTAACCGTGTCGAATTAGGTCAAATAATCTAATACCTATTGATTTTGGTTCAATTTGGGTTCACCTGTCATAAGTGAATTCAATTTGGGTTCAATTGTCATAAGTTAATCAAATGTATAATTCATTGTTGAGCCAAAATTCGTCAACACGGGTTCAACTTGTTTTAACCGGGTCGAATTAGGTCAAATATTCTACTAGATTTTGGTTCAATTTGGGTTCAATTGTCAAAAGTTAATTCATTTTGGGTTCAATTGTCATAAGTTAATCAAATGCAAAGCTCATTGTTGAGCCAAAATTCGTCAACACGGGTTCATCTTGTTTTAACCGGGTCGAATTAGGTCAAATATTCTAATAGATTTAGGTTTTTTTTTAACAAAAGATAGCTTGTATTACCAAGAAACAAAGATCACAAACGATTACAACTCGAGCGGAGCCAAAAGCAAAAATCAAACCCTCCGATAAGAGTAGGATACAAAGAAAGGGCCTTCCTAGCCACCCTATGGGCTACCCTATTGTTATCCCTACCTACAAATCGGAGAACATCCACATCCACCGCAACCAACAAGCCCTGAACTTCCCGCAACACAGCTCCTCCATAGCAATCCCCCGTGCTGTCGGCCAACACCTTGTCGATAACCACCTTCGCGTCACCCTGGTAGCAGACACCATGCACACCCATCGATCGACACCACAAGATTGCCTCACGAAGAGCCAGCAAGTCCACCAGCATGGGATCTGTAACCTCCGCCCATCCCTTCCCCAAAACACTAACCACTACCCCATCCGGCCCTTGTAAGACAATTCCCATCGTAGAGTGCGACGCCTGACGCACTGCTCCATCAAAGGAGCATACCCAAGCCACCCCCTGCGGAGGTCGATGCGGGTCCAAAGGCATCATCCGGCTTTGCCCTTGCAATCGGACCTCTGCCCCCCTCGACATCTGCTGCCACTCCTCAACCTGAACTAACCATTGGTTACGCAAAACCTCTCCAGTATATTGGCACCCCTCAAACACCACCCAGTTACAAGATTTCCAAACCCGCCACAGCAACGAGACAATCCTGATAATAACCTCCTCACTGGTCACCGATTCCAACATCCGCCGGACAAATATCCCCATGTTCTCCTCCGGGAGTCCAGCCCGGACATCCATCAGACCTGACTCGGCCCATAGCTTGGTAGCCACAGGGCAGTGGAAGAACAAATGCTCCAGGTCTTCCACCTCATGCCAACACACGGGGCACCGCTCCAGCACCTCAATCTCCCGTGCAACAAAGGCCTCCGTCGTCGGCAAAATCCTGCTCATGACCTGCCACATAAAGAACCTGAGCTTCGGCTGAATCCCAAGATTCCACAATTTCCTCCACAAAGCAGAATCCATCCAAGATGGCTCACACTTTCCCTTCCATCGGCTCCCGCTCAACCTCATCGCCAACTGATATCCGGACTTCACCGTATACTCCCCCGTTCGATCCTCATGCCAGATCAGCTTGTCCTGGACAGGCAACCGTGGGAGGACAATCGCTTTAATCGCCCTTCCGACCGAAGGGGTAAAGCAATTAGCCAAGCAATCATCACACCATGTCCCTGGTTCTTCCCCCATCTGACCAGCCACCGTAGCTCCCTCCCAAAGAAACGCCGAGGGCAACACCTCCGGCGGATTAGGATGGCACCCCGGGACCCAATTTGCTGTCATAATCTCCACCTCCTCCCCCGACCCTATTTGCCAACGCAGGCCTGCCTTCAACAGCTGAACCCCATGCAATACACTCTGCCACCCCCAAGACGGTCTCGACCGCGCCGTCGCCGCCAAAAGCGTTCCATTCGGATAATATTTCCCTTTATAGATTCGAGCAAGCAACGAGTCCGGGTCCTGCATAATCCGCCATCCAACCTTCGCCAGAAGAGTTTGGTTAAACTGCTCAAACCGACGGAACCCCAATCCCCCGTCATGCTTACTACCACACAATTTTCTCCATGACATCCAATGAATTCTATCAATCGCACCACCCCACCAGAAGCGAGCCATATACTTATCAAGGCGACGACAAAGCGTCACCGGAAGCTTAAAACATGCCATCACATAGACAGGCAATGCCGCCGCCACTGACTTCAACAGAGTCTCCTTCGCCGCCCAGGATAATAGATTTAGGTTCATTTGTCATAAGTTAATTAAATTTTGGTTCAATTGTCATTAGTTAATTAAATAGAACCTTAATGGACAAAAAACTCCTCTAAACTTTGGTTAATTACCTAAAAATCACCCCTTGTGATGGCCGATGGCGATAGGACACTATGCAATAGTAACTCTTGTTTTTTATAATAAAATAAAAAATAATAATAATAATCTCTCTTAGCGAAAAAGCTGCTGATCCTCATTAATCATTATCATCATGATCACAAACTACCATCACAATTTAGAAGAAAATTAAAAGAAGTGATTCAGTTATTGAGAATTAAGGACGGTAAACACAGGAGCGGCAAATGGGGCAGTGGCCGTCGCCGGCGACGGCCAGCAGCCAGACATCAACACAAACTCTATGGTACCGATGGCTGCACTCCGGCAGCACTCTGCACTCGTCTCCCTCCTCCCACTCCTCCAAGCATATCGCACAACCGCCGTTCCAGCCTTCTTGTGATTTCCCATCGTCGTCGTCGCGCCTATAGTACTTCACTATAGTCCCCGGAACAACAACTTTGCTATCCTCCTCCGGCGCCGGTGACACGACCACCACCGTAAGTTGACCCTCGTCTTGGACACGTCCGGCAGCGGCGCCGCCGTGGATGGTCCTGTAGCGAATGATGTAAACGGCCGCCGCAATGGCCACCAGGAACGGAAGCATGAGGTAGAGAGACTGCCACAACGGCCAGCCCATTGCATGAAAGAGAGGGTTGTTTATAATAGAGATTAAAGAGTGCTTAGTGGTTAATTAATAACCAGGGGAGAGTGATATATATGTGTGGTGGAACTTAATGCTTTGTTGTCGTATATATAGGATGAATTCAAAAAAAAATTTTATAAAATATGTAACAACGTACAACACGTCTGATAACCGTGATGCGAACTTTTGAAATGTATTAAAGAATTGCAATGTATAAGGAAAAAAAATGTGAATCTCGTGTTTGACTTTGTTATCATATGTTGGCTTTTGGAGTACGTGGAGAACTGTGGATTTCGGCCCATCTAATTTGTTTTCCCATTGATGAACTTTCGAGTTTAAAGAGTAAAGTAGTAATTGCGCCACTAAAGTACTTATGCAGTTTAGGGTCGGTTCATTCAGGGGGGAAAGATTATGGCAACAAAAGTTGTGGTTGATGATGTTTTTTTCTAATAAATTGTGCCGACAAATATTTCTCACAACATTCACGTGCATAGTTTAATTTTCCAGCTAAATTTGTTAATTATCCATACAAATCAACTTACTGTATTGGAAACTAATAAATATACCCTCTGCTGTGAAAATGTAATAAACTTATCATTTTATTCAAAATTTCGTTAAATGATCGTCGAAAGGGGCGAGAAAAGACCAAATTAGCTCAATTATTAAAAAAATTTCCTATTTTCCCCATCAAAATTAAATAAATAACTAAAATGGGAGTGGCAGTTACAAAAAGTAAGTAAGAAAAAATTAAGTTATCAAATTAATCTTTTATTTTAAAAAGCGAAAATTTATCTATTAAGTGATAGTCAATTTGGTCATTTTAATATTTTGTTAGTGATCAATTAAAGTAGTTTTGGATGGAATAATACATTTGAAACGTTACATTAATAGAAAAGTATATTTGTAAAAAATAGAATATGCATATGCTTCCTAACTAAAATGGGAGTGGCAGTTAAAAAAGTAAGTAAGAAAAAAAGTTATCAAATTAATCTTTTATTTCAAAAAACGAAATTTTATCTATTAAGTGATAGTCAATTTGGTCATTTTTATGTTTTTTTAGTGATCAATTAAAGTAATTTTGGATGGAATAATACATTTGAAACGTTACATTAATAGAAAAGTACATTTGTAAAAAATAGAATATGCATATGCTTCTAGAGAGATTATATAAATTTTTTAGAGTAATAGTTTGGGCTATTTCTTTTCGGCACAATTTGTAGGGTGAATCTTTTTCCAGTTGTTAATTCCTCCAACAGTGTTTTTTTTTGGTTTTGTTAGTTTGATGCGACAATGTGGAACGAAGAGAAAAGTGAAGGATAGTGTTATTGTTTTGCCTTTTTATCTAATCTAATAAACCATATAAGTGCCCCAGTGGGGCTAAGAAAAAAGAGGTTGATTGATAAGAATGGGAGTTTTCCACCGATGGCTCTCTTTTGCTATTATTGCCCTTCTTTTATATTGTTGCTAGTGACTAAAGATTTGATTTCAGTGTGTAGATCATATCCTTTTTAATTATCTTGAGCAATGTCGTAGCTTGGGGCTTTTTTAGTGGTTATCAAAGTTAGCTGCCAACTGCAAAGTCAAGTAAAGCCCCTTGAGCTTTTCCATTTGATTTGTCACATTTACAATTTCTTTCATACTACAAACTGAACTGATATCTTCAACAATATGATCGATAAAAATTCAACGGATATTACCTATAAAGCACCGGCGCATATGAGTTGGTAAAATAGCTCAAGAATATCGAATAATTATTCGGATTTGACCACTTGATAGTTAAGTTACTTTATTGTCACGATGGTATCGTAGTGCCAATTCGCTGCTAGTCAATCTCACTAGAAATATAGTTGTTGATGAGAAACAGAAAGGGGGGAAAAGAACATATGCCACACTGTCACATACTTTCCAATTTGCTAACTACATCACCTCTTCATACTTTTCTCTACAACTCGTTTGGTATACAAACCATATTAATCGCCATATCCCAGCTCCTTACCTTATATAGAACTAAAGGAAACAAACAAGGAAAATTTATCGCTAATTAACCTGCACGCATGCATTAGACGACGTACGTTTAGGAATACTTTCTAGTTTCTACAATATCAACACTCTGTTCTCCACCAGAAAAATAACAAGGCCACTAGTGCTAGTCTGCTAGATGGCTAGGTCAGGCAACTAGGTTTTTCAGATCAAGTCTCCTAAGCCAAACGGAGTGCAGGATCATGTGGAAGACATCAAACCTCTTGGCAGGCTGGTTGAGCACGAAATGCCTCCTCACACTCCTCACCCCACTCTTCAGCCTCAAATACTCCCTCTCACCAATCCCGCCGAGAATCTCCTTCAGCCTCGGAATCTCCGACACTCCGACCTGCACGGAGAACGCCTCCCACCGCAGGACGTCGCTGAAGGGCAGGACGTAGCTCTCGGACAGGATGACGGGGACGCACTCGGCGTAGATGGCCTCGACGATCCTGGGGCTGGCGACCTCGTGGCCGCTGGGGCAGAGGCAGAACTTGGAGCGGAGCATGAAGGTGTGGTAGTCGAGCGGGGAGGCCTTGGGGAGGTACTCGAAGACGCGGAGGTCGGTGTCGTTTCGGTCCTTCCAGTGGCGGAGGAGGATGGGGCGGATCGGGCCGTGGAGGCCGCCGGCGAAGAAGGCGAGGTGGGGGCGGTGGGAGGAGGGCGGCGGCGGGGAGCGGAGCTGGGTGGGGATGTTGCCGCCGTAGAGGTGGATTTCGGGTAGGCTGACGTCTTTTCGCGGGGTGAAGCCTTCGGAGGTGTTGGCGTTGCAGAGGACGCGGATTGAGTTGTGGTTGAGGAGTGGGCTGCCTCTCGACGCGTGGGGCCCCTGCAGCAGTACATAAGAGATAAGACACAATACAAACCATGCATGCCCTGGTTATTTCATTATGAGAAGAAGTTGGGGGAGAGAGTTCAGACTTGTTGCAGGGGAGTTCTTTTTCCATTGGGAATTTGGAAAGAAGTGGCTTTTTGAAGAGAATTTATGGCACAAGAACAAAAACAGCAATACACATTGATAGTACATATAGTTGCTCCTACATTTACCTAACCTATGCATCAAAATTCAGAGATGAGATGACAAGATCCTAAATTACAAATGCATCAAAGTCAGGAGGTTTTGAATTTCACAAACTCATTAATATGGATAAAAGGAAATATAAAAATTTACTATTTTCTGAAGCATTGGACTTTACTTGATCATTTACTGCCAGAAAAGACAAATAATATGTGCCTGTAAAAATCTAGGCTGATGAGGCCGAAGTAAAAGATGATTAATCAGCTTGAAATGAGTGGATTGATCATGTTAGTTGATCAATTTGATAACAGGCCATTGTCAAGTTGTGCTAACATACCAGAAAATAACATTAAAAAATTATAAGCGAAGTGGAGACTGATAATAATCTCAAGAGGTTGGTCTAGTTGCAATGTGAGAATGTAAATATTTACCATACGTTAAGGTTTAAATCTTAAGATCAACAACCAAAAAAAAAGGTCAGTAAAAAGTAAAAAAGATAACTTATTACAAAATTAATCATTCATGCTCTCATCTAAAAACCATGGTCCATGAAACCGTATCGTACCGGCGATTCAACCACAAAATACCAGTATCGGAGGCTAAACCGGTAGGCGGTATTTAACGGTATGAACGGTTGAACTACGGTTAAACCACGGTTTTGTCATAAAATATCCTACCGCTGACTTTTCCGGTATGGTGTCCGGTACGGTTTCATGGACCATGCTAAAAACTGGGATTTGAAATGATAAATATTATCATTTTTCGCATGCATTTTAATAAAATTTGGTGAAGAAAATGATTTGTTAATTAAATGCATATATGTTCAAAGAATATTCACGTGTAATTCCCAAACAACTCCTTTATGAAGTGGCGGTGGCGGATGCTCTAATCACATAGCTACTTATTACTGAATTGCTTAAAGGTAACAACAAGCGAAAATAACGGTTCCTATCCCGCAGCGTAACCGAGACGAACACTCCAATAGACAATCGCGTGACGGAGAAATTAAATGGAAGTGATGATGAAGAAGGGTAGAGGAGGGGCGAAAGCAGCATTACTAACCCAATCATGGCAAGCGAGCATGAAGTGGTCAGCGCCGAGGGTCCGGTTCCAGAAGGGATGCTTGGTGGAGATGACTGAAACGTAATCCGCCACGAAGTGCCTAAGTGGCGTGAGGTTGTAAGAGAGTGGGGTGTAGAGATACTTCACCATCCACGTCACGCTGAAGGGCATGAAGTAGACGTGCGCCCGCTCCGGGTCTTCCGTCCTGAACTTGCCCGCACCGTGCTCCATCTCGTGGATGAACCGGCCTTCTATGGTGTATATGTCCTTGCACGGCCCGTCGTGGACTATTGGTGGCTCCCCTTCCTTGTACACGTACACCTTCATCCTCTTCTCCATCTCCACGTAACTCCTGCACACACACACACACATATTATTCGTAGTTAACCACTTTTTTTTCTTTTTCAAATTCAGACTTATCATACACAATCTCTATGGTCTAATGTAGAAAATTCATGATGTACAAGAACAGAATAATCATTCATTTTCAGATTGAAACCCAACCATGATATGAATGTTCAGTGGCCAATTTAAATAGCATGCAAACTAACCTTCACTTTAGCATCCAACTAAATTTTGTGACGACAAATAGCCTCGTGTGCATCAAGAAAAATATAGAGTAGACTTACTCCTAGTAGTAGTAGTCACTTTTGAGTTTTGAAGCTACCTAAAAAGATTAACACATACACATACTTGTAGGGCTCTTAATCGGTTCGGTTATAGTACGTAGTCGTTAACCGTAATCGTATATTAGATTATCAGTTAGTTGGCTAGCTAACTGTTTAGCCATCGGTTACTAATTAGCTAAATTTGACTAACGATAGTCGCGATCAGTTATCGGTGTAACCACTAACCTTCTATTATCAATTATGTTATTGATTATACCGCTAACAAGGTAACGGGTTAACAACCCTAAATAAATATTTGAATTTCTTATTTGTCAAATGATCAGATGCGATTGAACAACATTAACAAGACACTTGGAAGCTAGTAGTCATTAGCCAAGTAGCTGAATACAGTTACTTGACCATCCCACGACTGACCATACTTGCGGACGTCAGAATCAACGGAATGATAAATGAGATATAAGACCATTCCTCGCCTTAATTGGAAACTTAAGGACCATTATGGTTTTCAAACCTGGTCGTGCCACATTAGGAAAGGGCGTGTCCACTACTCTATGCCCTTGGAAAAGGCTGAAAGCGAAGGGAACTGTTATGATTTAGGATACAAGTGCCGAGAGTTGAAATGTGCAGTATAATAATGGCAAGGAGAATGAGTGAGTTTTTCTTTCTCCCCGCAGTGCCTCTCGCTTTCTCACGCTTCTGTTCCAAGGGAACGAATTCATTCTTTTGCGCATTCGTTTGATCACTTCGTACACATACATGGGGAAAAGGAATGGAAAAAGAACGCGAGAAAATCATGGGGGAGGTTGTATAAGACTAATAATCCTAGCTATACGTACGGGTGCCGTCAAAGCAAAGTCTCTTAAAAGTCATTAACACCTGTAATTTAGCCATTTAGGTAATCATGGCGTAATTAACTTGGAAAATAACAACTACACATGTTCCTAATCATACCGGCTAGCTTTTCTAATCTCCATTCAGTTACTAATCACGAGAACGAACTAAGTTAAGAGCGTACTTACTGGTAAAACGCTCTGGAGTTGCGATAAACGCTTCCGCCGATGAATTCCTCGACTCTACCGATAGATGAATTTTGATGATCCGCTGCCATAGCTGCTCTCCTGATTGAAGCTCGAGCTCGAGCAAGTCCTCGCTCCAGCTCTTCTCCTCTGCTGATCGGTTTTCGACTTTTCCTCTTCAGATCCTGTCAGAATGCGAGACCAATGCAATCAAGAACGAGAACGACGAATTGAAATCACGATCCAATGGAATCAAATCGACACTGGAATAGTGGAATTGGACTAGCAACGAAATCGATATTCGGAAGATTCAAACTCGGACAGAAATGAAATTCGGCATTGTGGAGAAATTCGAAGACAGAGAATCAAATATCACTATATCAGTCTATCAATTGAGAATTGAGATGAACTCACAATTGCAGCTGCAGTAGTACTGCTGCTACTCGTGGCGTTCCTTCTGAGGCGGTTGATGACGACGGCGGAGCCGTCGGCCGAGCGAGCAGCAGAGCGGACGGCTTGGATTTGATTTGAGGTGATCACCTTCGTCCGAAGCTCAACGACGGGGAAAACAGAGGCGGCGGCGCTGCTGCGGCTGCCTTCACCGGACGATTCGAATTGAGAACGGGGAGCGAAGTGGAGAAGGTCAAGCGAGCTAGAGTCGTAGGAGCAAAAGTAGTAGGCAGAGGCGATCAGAACCGAGCAGAGTAACAAAACGGATATGGAAGGAAGCATGGAGACGGAGTAGGGAGAGTGGCGTTTAGTCTCCATGAGAGAACGCTCTGGTTTTGAGATCAGTCGCTGAGATCTGCTGAGCTCGATTCCATTTCGTATTGTTCGGGGAAATTGCAGAGTGTTTGGCTGAATTTCGTGTGTGCAGGATTTGAATTTTCTCGAAGAGAGTAAGGGAAGGAGGGAGAGGAAAATGGAGGGGGGATTGAAAAGTGTGGGAAACGAAAGTGGAGTTGTGTAATTTAAATAGGCGGGCGAGAATCAGAGTGAGGACTGAAAGGCGGGTGAGTTTGTTATCTCTTCTGTGTACAAAATTAACAAGCAAATAGGCATAAGCTCAGGTGTGAGTGAGTGAGAGAGAGAGAGTGTGGACTATCTAAGTATCAATTGTTATTGGGGTAAATGATACATTTGGTCACTGAGATTACTAAATCGTGTCATATTTAGTCACTAGAAAAATTTAATATCAATTTTGGTCACTCGAATTACTGAAACAGGTCACATTTGGTCACTCTTTTGTAGCCTTTGTCCAACTCCGGTCACTCGAATTATTGAAAAATGTCACATTTAGTCACTCGGATTACTGAAACATGTCACATTTAGTCACTCTCCCAAAAGTTTCCGTCCAACTACATTAATGGAGTTGGACGGAAACTGACGGGAGAGTGACTAAATTTGACCAGTTTCGGTAATTCGAGTGACCAAAATTGATATTAATTTTTTCCAGTGACTAAACATGACACAATTTAATAATCTCAGTGACCAAATGTGTCATATACCCATTGTTATTGTTATTACAAACTTTCTTCACAGTAAACATATTTTTTAATTATCCTTTTAAAACTTTTAAAAAACTGCTCCTAAGTGCTAAGTATACAAGGATCTATATTTTAGAAATACATCTAAGGATTTCGATTATTGATACGATACTTAGAAAGTTAGAGTACTGCTTCTATAACACTGAAAATGATTTCTCCCAACATCTTTTATTATGTGCCTGGTATACTACTAACTCTTTAGTTGGTTCTGAAAGATGGGAATCTATAGTATCTAAGAAATTTTTTACCACCCTATTTATATTCTTATTAGATTAGCTTTCATTAGATTTTTACTTATTAATAGCGAAATTGTACATAATGGATCTTATTTTCAAACTCTAAAACATAAATACAAAACAAATGGAGTAAATAAAAAACAAATGGAGCTTGGGAGAATATGTGAATAACCTTAAGAGGTGATCTAATTATATATTAATGTGAGGATGAGAACATCTATCACATCGTGAATTGATCACACTGATATTCACTTCTAAATTGAACTTTCTATCATGTACCCAAATTAAATCAGTGCCCTTAAGGTTATGAGTTACGACATTATGTGATTTATTAATAGAGCTAGTTAGAGGGAGAGCCTAAAAATGACATTTTTGTCATTTTTCATGTATATTAACAAGTATTTCACAAAGAAATAACCCAAACGGTTAGATTGGAAATTTTATGAAAATTAAGGGGTCCATGATTGCTTAGGAAAAGACTCATAATTCATGAGTAATTGTGCATTATAAATTTTTAAAATGAAAATTACAATTGGTGATCCGTCATCAAAATGACGACCGCGGATATGGGTTTGAGTTGTACATCATAAATTAAAAAACTCATTATTCATGAGCGATTGTGCATTAAGCGCCATGATTCCATGAACTCAACTCTACACCGAAAGAAAATTCAAAATAACTAAATGGAAAAATGAGAAAAGAAGCGGATGCCTAATTAGATTGTTAACTTCCCCAAGTTTCCCAAAAGCAGCTTAAATCAGTTAAATGCCCACAGACACACGCAAACAGAAAATAGAGCACCCGTTGCTTTTGCTAAATTGTTCCTCTTCTGAACCTCCACCACCTCCGACGTCCGTACTGCTTCCGCCACCGCGCCACGACCAACCGTTCGCGATCCCCTCCGACTCCCTTCCTTCTTCGTCCGCCAATCAGACGTTACTAAACGGCGATTCATCAATGGCTTTTGCTTCATCTCCCGCTCTCTGATCATTAGCGTCGCTTCCTCCCACACGGCGTAAATGAGACGCTTAATCCGCCGGCAAACTATTGAGGAAAGAATTAACAGACGGAATCGCCCGAGGAAACAATAGGACGACGACGATGTCATTCTTCTTCGGTTTCTTCATCGGAGTGTCCATTGGGATTGGCCTCATTGTCGCTTTAGCTCGTTACGAGTCCGTCCGATCCGCTCGCCGCTCCGCCTTGGTATATTTGCCCGATTTCCGTTTGTCTTTTTTCCTTAAGGTAACGGCGCAATGGCATTGGTTTTTTTTTTCTTAACCCTAATTGGCTAATTCTTGTTGCTGTCAGGCAAAGACGGTGGCGGCGTTTGCGAGGATGACGGTACAGGACTCTCGGAAAATTCTCCCGGCGGAGTTCTACCCGTCGTGGGTGGTCTTCTCCAATAGACAGAAGTTGAGTAACTAGTAATTTGTGTATCCGCCATTGTTGTGGAACCCAGAGCTCTGACATTTTGCTCTCCCCTGTTATGGAATTACAGTTAAATTGGCTTAATCACCAGCTAGACAAGATTTGGCCCTACGTCGATGCGGTAAGAAGTCGTTGATGGGGTTTTTCCATGAATGATTTGCCAAGTTTGGAAACGGGCTACCATTTTCTCTTCTTTTCCTGATAGGCAGCGTCGGAGCTGATAAGGAACAATGTGGAGCCGATTCTAGAAGAGTATAGACCAGCTATTCTCTCATCTCTCAAGTTCTCCAAGTTGACTCTTGGCACTGTAGCTCCTCAGTTCACAGGTTCGTTTGCCTCTCATGGATGATTTAAACCAGATATTCAGTTGGTTTGTAACTGAGCAGAGCTCTGATTGCAACCCAGGAATTAGCATTATTGAAGAGGAAAGTGACTCTGGAGGTGTGACAATGGAGTTAGAGATGCAATGGGATGGCAATCCTAATATTGTGCTTGATATCAACACTAGAGTTGGTGTTGCTCTTCCTATACAGGTACCTTTCACTCTCCTTTTGAACTTACCTTCTTACTCCTAGTCCAATATTTGGTTCGCTGAGAAATCTTAAGGTCAAGAATGATGTGAACAATGGTGAATTCTTGGTATAATTTATTGGTCTTGTCCATGGGAGGAACAATTTTCATGTATGCTGATATGGTTTGCTATGACTTTCCTTGTCTTCTAAGCATTAGTTACTTCTATATCAAGATAGGAACGTTGAACCATAAAAAAAGAAAAGAAAAGAAGATAGGAACGTTGATTGTTCAAGATTCAGACTGAGAGTTGTTTCTTCTCTCTTCTTTCTTTATTCAAATCATCTGTTCATTGTTTGTTTGCTTTTTCGGTGTTGTAATTTCATATAGGTAAAAGATATTGGATTCACTGGGGTTTTCAGGTTAATCTTCAAGCCACTTGTTCCTGAATTCCCTGGGTTTGGAGCTATTTCTTATTCACTGAGGGAAAAGGTGAGCCAGCCTGGTTTCCCCTGACTAGCATAAGTGTCAGCAGTCATAGCAATAGATCTTCACATGTTTGTTTTCCTCCCTATGATTCTATCTGCAGAAACAATTAGACTTTAGACTAAAAGTAATAGGAGGCGAGTTATCATCAATACCCGGGTTATCTGATGCTATTGAGGTCAGTTCCTTCATCATTTCTGGTCTTTTGGTGTCATATTCATGCAAGAACCAGTGATAAAAGATTCGATCATTTCTCTGCAGGAAACTATAAAGGACGCCATTGAAGACTCCATCACTTGGCCAGTCAGGAAAATTATACCTATTCTGCCCGGTGACTACGAGTAAGCAAGTTATATACCCTTCTAACAATCCCCAGAAGCAAAACTATCAATCCCCCTAAGATTACCATGTATCCTCCCACATTGCAGGGACTTGGAGCTTAAGCCAGAAGGAATACTGGACGTGAAACTTGTCCAGGCTAAAGAGCTATCAAACAAGGATGTTATCGGGAAATCAGATCCTTTTGCCGTCGTATTCATCCGCCCACTGCGTGACAGAACAAAAACCAGCAAAGTTATTGTAAGAAATCACCATAACACCACTTGTTTTTCCCTCCTTGTCGTGCACACTGGTCATTATTGTAAAGTTACTAACTCCCAGTCCTTTCCAGAACAACCAATTGAACCCCGTTTGGAACGAGCACTTCGAGTTTGTTGTCGAGGATGCATCTACTCAACATCTAACAATCAGAGTGTTTGACGATGAAGGAATTTCGGCAGCTGAGCTCATTGGCTGTGCTCAGGTGGCGTTGAAAGACCTGGAGCCTGGTAAAGTCAAGGACGTATGGTTGAAACTGGTCAAAGATTTGAACATCCAGAGAGATAACAAGTACAGGGGCGAGGTATGTTATTCATTAACCTCAGTGTTGATTTAAACATAAGCTCTTGATACTGATTCATCGGCCCTGAGTAACAATCCTGATTTAGGTACATCTGGAGCTGCTATACATTCCTTATGGGATGGACAGCAGCTTGAAGAACCCATTCAATCCGGATTACCAACTGACGACGTTAGAGAAGAAGATCAAGTGCGGGAATGAAGCTGGCGAAGACCCAATCCTCGCCTCGGCCGCATCTAGGAAGAATGTGATCGTGAGAGGAGTTCTGTCGGTGAATGTGGTGGCGGCCGAGGACTTGCCGGCGGTGGATGTGATGGGGAAGGCCGATCCATATGTTGTCCTCATCATGAAGAAATCCGACGCAAGAGCCAAAACCAGGGTGAGAAATCCAAAAATGCAGAAACTTTAACCTGCCTACATTTTCCATTACTCCAATAGTAATGGGGTTTGCTTGTGTCAGGTGGTGCAAGAGAGCTTGAATCCTGTGTGGAACCAGACGTTCGACTTCGTCGTGGAAGATGCTCTCCATGAGATGCTGATTTTGGAGGTTTGGGATCATGACACTTTTGGAAAGGTATATGATGTTTGCTTGTGTGTTGTAATTACTTTTGGAGTTGAATGATGATCGATCAGGTTTGCGGTTGGTTGCCGTGGAAGTAAAGTAAGTAACGTGCTTCGTGGTGTTGTAATTGTAACACCTGTTCTTTTTTTGGGGCAGGACAAAATTGGAAGAGTGATAATGACGCTGACGAGAGTTATAATGGAAGGGGAGTTCCAGGATTCGTTTCCGGTGGATGGCGCCAAGTCTGGGAAGCTTTTCTTGCATCTCAAATGGACTCCCCAGCTTAAATTTCGTGACCCTTGAATTGAATCTAATTGAAAAAACCTCATTTTGCATTCATACGTGCATATAAATATAATGCATTTACCTCATATTCTTTTTTTCGTACGCTTTTCACCCTTTCATCTGATGACAATGTTTGAAGTTTTCTTGTTTATACAAGTTGTGGAATTGTAGAGAAACTTTACGGCAAAATGAGAAATGAATCAAACCTTTAACATTGTGTTCAGATGATCAGTGGTGGAAGTAGGTTGAAGTTAGAAAGGGTTTTGATTTTTACATGTATAGAAACTTACATGTAAATTCTGCACAAATTAGGAATTAAAATATTTGATAAGCTTTTAGTTCTTTTATAATTACGACAATTAAAACAGCTTTATTGAGATTTCTAGCACCCCACCATGATGGAAGGTGCTTCCTAAATATTGTTAACAAAAACTAGACTAGCTTAGCTGCAGCAGTTGTTTTATTACATGCGAAAAAGGTGAGGGACAACTTTATATATTTTGAGATTTAGCGGCAATTCTGTTATCATTGACCATAATTTTGTGTTCTATGACCATTTAGTACTTAAGCAAAAATAATTTATTTATTAATCTTTCTTTAGTGAGGGAATCAATCATCACCGTATCGTGAATTTTACTAGACGAATTGGTCTGTGCGGTTCTGTTTCGTGCCAGACGTTGTTGACTGGTTGGTAGAAGTATCGTGAGAAGAGAAATAGCTTCTTTCTTCTTCCAGGCCCATCTCCAACGGAGAAGCTACTTCTCTTCCCTTCCTGCATCTCCACCCGGAACCGACGATTTCCCATGATCCTCGAGCTTCGCGCGATCGAGCAGCCGCCATGGAAGAAGAAACACAGCACAAAAGCAATAAAAACACCCAACAACTCACTTCCTCGTTTCTCCACTCGCTCAGAGGAGCCGCCAGGGATCTGCGTATCAACAACCCAATCTTCTCCCTCTCCGTCACCGACATCCAGCCCGCCGCCATAGCAAAGATCTTGAAGCTAGAAACAGAATCCGGCGCCACTACCCTTCTCTCTGGCGACCCAAATCTCTTCAAAGTCTCTCAATTCTTGACCGACCTCAAAACCCTTCACCGGGATCTCGAGAAATCGGGAGGGTACAGCTTGCGATCCATCCTCCGCCGCCGAATCGCCGCTTACAGAATCTACCAGCTCGCCATCAAGATTGAGGCTGAGATTCGGGTGTATTTCGATCGGGAGCTGATACAGAAGCTTGTGAAGACTCTCCAGTTACGGGAGGGCGAGAAGGAAGAGGATGAGAAAATTAGGGTATTGGAGGAGTTCGAGGAGCGATTGAGTTCTGGGTTCGATCGGGAGTTCCAGGAATTGGTCCTGAAAGCGAAGCTCTTCTCGATCCTCGAATCGCTACTGTGCAAATCGGATCGGCGGCCGACGACGAGAGTCAAGGAACACGTGGCTCGCGCCATCGTCGGGTTGGTCCGATTCAACAAGGACGTGTTCGTCGGACTCGTTCTAATGGGCTCGACGGTTCCCGCTCTGGTGTCGATGGGCACCAGGTGTTCGATACAAGTCCTGACTGAGCTCGTGTCGCTAATCCGGACCCCCTTGATCGACGAAATGGAGCTGGACGGGCAGATCCCCAGAGTCGTCGCTTTACTCGGGTCAAACTCGGAGAATGGCGATGACGATCGTCTGTTGCCGATCAAAACGGCGGCGTTCTATTGCGTGTGCGAGATAGCGTACCACGGGAGGAAGGAAGTGATCGAGGCGATGCTGGAACAGGGATTGATAAAGAAGCTCGTGGAGCTGCAGAGGTCGAGACACGGTGACAACTTCGTGGAGGCGGAGGGCACCGGCGCCGGAGATCGTCCGTTCGGGAGCTGCGTGGCGAAGTTTGCGGTGCAGGTGGAGGTGGGAGAGGGGTTGAGTGGGGGGGAGAGGAAAGAGCTGAAGAGGGAAATGGTGGAGAGAGTGAGGGATGCCTGTGTATCTGAAGCTGAAGCTGCCTCTATTTTAGCAGAGGTGCTTTGGGGTTCCACGCCGTGAAATCATTCAGGCGACTTTTTTGCTTTTTGTACAGATAACAGAGTTTTCCGTCCGCCGTTTGTTGCCGATGGGGAAGATGATGAGATCCTGGTGAATCGGGGAAAAGCTAGTGCCTAGTAGGTTATTTCCAGAATAAAGCTAAACAGAATTCCACAGTAAACTGATTATAAAAAAAATCTACAGTAAACAAAGAGTCCAATCAATTGAACAATGAGGATAAAAAGCCCGAAAGCCCAAGATGGCATACGAAGCCCAAAATTGTCCACTGCAGGGCGCCGAGTCGCTGACCATCCAAAACGCACCGTAAATAGAAAGAAGTGTCGGTCCCGCGTTTAAGAACTAAGCAGGGAAGAAAGTTGCTGGCTGACGTCGGACTACCGCCACGCCAAAAATGGTGACACGTCGGACAGTAATAGCAGAGAGCGACAGGCGAGACGAAAATTTTTCTTGCAGGGAAAGAACATCAGCAAGAAAAAACAGGGGAAAAGAAAAAGGGAAATATAAAATAACAAGTTAACAACAAATTCAATTTGCAACACCAAGCTAGCCAGTTTGCAATAAATAATACGCGGCCCCCTCCGCTATTGCATCACCCTCCGCTCTCTCCGCTCATTCTTCCGGCGGGATTTGGCTCCTTCTCCCTGACGAATTTCCTCCATATCAGCTGACCGATCGGTGGCCTCCCTACTGGAGAAAGCACTATCTATTAAGGGTTTCATTCCTTGTTCAAGCCTTCAAGCTTGCGCCACCTGAAGCGGAGGGATCTCGCAACCCTCACGTGTTGGTCTGACAACTACCGCGAAGGAGCTGCATAAATCCCTGTAAAATCAGAAGCCCTAGCTTCGGATTTTGCAGATCCGTGGAGAGAATTCCTAGATCTCTGCTTGCTGCCCCTGCTCCCGGGTTTTATTTTCGTGTTCATCCATCTGGGTTGTGGGTTTTGACTTCTGGGTAATGGGTTGGAGATATAAGGCGGGGTTGTTCTTGATAGCTGCTGTTGTTGTCATATGGGTCACCTCCGCCGAAGTTACCCAGGTAGGTCTCTCTCAATTCTTTGTTTGTTTCTGGGAGATTCTCCAGCTAGCTGCGTGGAAGTAATTCGACGCTTTTAGAGAATGATGCTTGATGGTTGATTAGTAGATACTCTGTTTGCTGAAATTTCAATAGTCCTCCATTCTACTCTGTTTGTTCCATTACAATTGTGAATTGTCTATGCAACTGTGGCAATCGTCATTTCAGTCATAAGAACATGGATATTGTTTTCCCTTTGAATGTTGATATGGGACGAAAAGTAGTATAAGTAATTTGTTCAGAGAGCGTAGCGTAGCGTAATCTACTATTACCTTTTCCTCGAAGTGCTGGCCAGAGGATTGAATTCCGCAACTTAACAATGGGCAAACCCCCTGAAACATATGTTAGTGGCAATGAAAGGCATCGTGCGTGCGTTTAGAATTAGATCCAAGCTTTTAGGTGTTTTTGTTTCCTTTCATACCAGTGGGATGCAAGTTATTCCTCTGATCTCTTTGTAAATTTACCTGGTTTTTGTGTCACAGGGTATATTTACAAATTACAAACAACCATTTGCTGTCACATATCTTGGAGCTTCCCTTATGGTAGTTTACCTCCCGGTTGCATTCTTTAAAGACTGGCTGCAGAAAGTTCTGAACCGTAAGTCTTCAAAAGGTGGTAAAGGTTCAGAAAACAAGAAAGAGTCTTCTGATGGATTTAACTCTCCTCTAAACCGGAAAATCGTTGAAATGGAACTTCAGGGAACTTTGAGTAAGAAAGATAGTGACTCAGCTCTTTCATTGCAAGATGAGGACAAGCCGTTAGTCCCGAGAGGCAAAGATGACCTCAATGTGCTGAGAATTGAGAAAGAACTCAGCAACAAACAAGTTGCAAAGTACGGGTTTTATATTGCACCACTTTGGTTCGTCACGGAGGTGAGCTTGCTTTTCAAACACTCAATTGCATTGTCCATCTTTGTTCCTGGACAAGTGAACGGTGACCAAATACTGGAAAAATATCAACTGGGTCTGTTTATGGTAGTGAGAATGGTTTGATAAGGAGCAGTGTGTAAGTTCATAGAACCTTCAGAACTGTCTGATTGTTTTAGGTCTATGATCGTTCTCCAATTTCTTATCATGCTTTCTGGTAGGTAGCAAATAGGTTGTAAATTTCACTGGCCATTACTTTCAGAGTTAGCTTATCCCATGAACTAGTGAATCATAATCTTTCATTCCACTTCCTCGGACTGAGAAATAACTGATGAAGTGAAATGCTGACAATTGTAAGGGATTTAGTTCCGTGTTGGATGGACATCCGTACCACCTAGTGTGGAACAGAAACTCCGCATGTTATCAAATTGGTGTCTCTTGCGGGTAAAAATTGGACCTTTATTTCTTTCGTTCTCAGTGCAAGATTTGTGATTGATTAGCTGATTAATGCATGAAATTCTTTCCTTAGACTTGGTACTTTTCCTCATAAATTATGCACTAAACCAGTCTCGGGTATGTTTTACTTTAATGGTTGCCCATTTGCTCCTACTCAGTATCTATCAAATGCTGCTCTGGCACGCACAAGTGTTGCAAGTACAACAGTTCTGTCATCAACTTCAGGACTTTTCACCCTCTTCGTTGGTGCTTTCCTAGGCGAAGATTCTTTGAATTTATCGAAAGTCATAGCTGTGCTGGTGAGTATGGCTGGTGTTGTTATGACTACTTTTGGAAAAACATGGGCTGCTGATGAGTCACAACTAAGTGCCTCTAAGTAAGACCTCCTCTCCTATTTGTTATTTTTCTTACTTACCTTAAATAAAAACCATCAAGTAATTATGGATGCCCTAAGTTGGTTGTAGACCGTGCTTACTAGTGATTGTTGCTGGTATCAGTAGACCTTCATTGCTATATTTTTTGCAACGACTGTCTTAGCATCTGCGTGCTTTTCTAAGTTGTGATTGCTTCCATTTACCTTTGTTTGATGTTAACTCTTGCATTTAGCGATGGAGAACGCACTCTTGTTGGTGATTTATTTGGCCTTCTCTCTGCAGTGTGTTATGCACTATTCACAGGTTAGAGATGATTTTTCATTACTCGCTTTCCTTAATCTTCATCCTCTAGTTGTTAATGATTAACTGTATTTCATTATAATGCTGCAGTACTTCTCAAAAAGTTTGCTGGTGAAGAAGGAGAAAGAGTTGATGTGCAAAAGTTGTTTGGATACATAGGGTTGTTTACCCTTGTAGCCCTGTGGTGGCTTGGTAAGTGGCATCAGTATCTGAAAGCACTTCAAGTTATTGACTCTGAAGCATAGAGCCCTATGTAGTTAAAAAAACTACGGGGTCATTATGTCGACGAGGCCATGGAATCTGGTTTAAAATCCGGTGGAATACGGGAGATTCCTGTGTTTGTTTTGTCTTCTAAGGGGAAACAATGTTGGCAAGATGAGATTCACAATTTGTAGGTAGATGAAATATAAATTTCATGGGGCGACCACTTGGATTCTACATCCCTTTGCTAGGCTTTGGATTAACGGGCATTTTCCACATTCTTATTTTTCATGCATTCTACATTCCATGAATTAAATATAGTCCATTCTAACCAATTTTTTTCTTTTTTATTGTTTTGGCTTTCTTAGTGTGGCCATTGACCGCCTTGGGAATAGAGCCCAAGTTTACGATCCCACATTCCGCGAAACTTGATGAAATTGTTCTTGCTAACGGCTTCATTGGGAGTGTCCTCTCTGACTACTTCTGGTACACCTTTGGCAAGCCTTTCAGCTCATTATGGATCAAAGAACACCATTGTTTCATTCGCATGTAGTGCTGAATTCATATATCTTTCCTTTTTTAGGGCACTGTGCGTTGTATGGACAACCCCGTTGGTAGCCACCTTGGGCATGTCACTGACAATCCCCCTCGCCATGGTGGCGGACATGGTGGTCCACGGTCGTCATTATTCAGCAATCTACATACTTGGCTCGGTTCAGGTATGGTGCTATGCTGTTCTTCTTCATCAAACTACACTTTAAGACGTCGAACAGCACTTGCTTTTCTTCTTCAAATGGCCGCAACTTAATATATATGGGATTGTTAATGATTTGCCTGCAGGTGTTTGCTGGATTTGTGATTGCTAATCTTTCAGACCGACTGTCCAAAACGATAGGCTTGTAACATAGGTGTTCTTCGGACTTTTGGGTTTCTTACGCATTGGAAAATTCTTTGTTTGGGAATCTCTTTAATCTCCCAGATCTTATATGAATAAGTAGCTTTGATCCGGAAGTGTAAGTACATACAGGTGAAATGGAGTGTTGTGAGTAGCACTGTTAATGAATCAAGCAAGCCGCTCATGAATGACTCAGCGTCCGACTCGAGAAAAACTTGTTCAACATTCGATTCGTCTTAATCGAGCTGGCTCGCGAACAAGCTCGTTAACTAAACGAGCCAAATTCGAGTCATACCATGTTCAACTCGAAAGCTCACAAACAAGCTCAATTAATTGTTTGGCATCATAAAGGATTGGAATTCATGGATTTTTTTTTTTTGAAAGATGATTTTCATTAATACGACTGGGCTAAGCCCACAAAAGGAGTGGTACAAGCGAACCAACCAAGCAAAGGGCTGGAAGAACCTCAGCACAAAACAGACCAACAGAAAAACCCAAAAACCCAATAGGGCCCCAGGCCCATGGCCAAAACAAAGGCTGAGCCCCCCAAACCCTAGCCGTCAGCGCCCTCTCTGTCAACCTCCACCGCCGCGGCCGAGAACCCCCACCACACCGACGCGCCACCGACCCATCGAAGAGCACATCGCGGCCAGGACCTCAACCAACCCAGAAGACGAGAGGATGAGGAAAACACCTCCGGCTAGCACACCCCGAGCCGACCACCGCCTGCAACCCACCGCCACGCCAAGGGAAACAGAACAATCGGACGGTCGGCAGAAGAGACAGAGAGTTAGAATACCACTGTCTTCAAGCTCTCCCAACCGGATCCACGCCAAGGGCTGCATCTCCGACTAGCCAATATCTGCAAGGCAAAGACAAGGAGGTAGACCAAAGGAGGGGGGAGGAGAAGACAAGTCTGGTCTGCGTCAGATCAGACCTCATCGCATCAAGAACCGGGCAACACATCTTCAGATCTGGAAACCAAATCGAAGGACAAAACATCATCCCACAGAGGGGGCAAGAACAGAACCCACACAGGGGGAAAGATGTCAAACAAAGGCAGGAAAACAGAGCTCGAGATCAAGAAAAAAAGAAAAGGAAAGCGAAAAGGAAACTTAGAGGGGCGGAGGGCTACCGCCGGCCGCCGGAAGAGCGCCGGCAGCAGCGCCCATGGAAGCCTGACCAAAGTTGTTAGATAAAAGGGAGAGAATTTGAAAAGCAAGAGAGAGGTCCCTCCCAGAGAGACGAGTTCTCACTCTTGCAACCCCCATGGACTTTATGTATTGAAATTGGAATAAATATTGTATTTTATTTTGTTAAAGATTTTACTACAGGTTTGAATGTAATTTTGTGTTCAGTTCAAACTCAATCTTGAGCTATCATGAACATTTAATGAGTTGAACTCGATTTTGGGCTCGCTAAGCTTGTTTGGCAAGCCAAACTCGAGCTTTCATATTAATAAACGAGCCGAGCTCGAACTTGAAAATATTTTAACGAGACGAGGCCAAACTATAGAAAAGTTCGGGTTGGATCATTAACAACCCTAGTTGTGAGTGAGATGGAGTCCAATATGTAAATGAACAAACTAACTGACTTCACGTTGTGATGATTCAGGGAGGGGCAGGTCTTGTTGGATTATTGTTCCCAGATGTAATACACAATGTTTGGTGAAATATGGGAAAAGAGATTAGGGAGAAAGAGAAAGTCATATGTTGTAGTGGTAGATTCTTGGTGATGAATTGGTTCAGCTGTTCAGCTGGAGGTTATTCTTTAGCTCTCGGTGGACGTTTCTGTTTAATATACAGCCTTTTCATTTATTGGCAATGGATACGCTCCTGAGAATGACTGAAACTCGGCTTGGATGCTCATCGTACGCCTTGTTCATTTGTCATTTCATTTTTTGGTAATTGCATTGCTTCACATATGCTAAATGAAAAAGCAAACCGTTAATTATTACCATTATTAAAAAAGAAAATAATAAATTATCTTTTGTTTTCGACAACAAGAAGAATATAAAGCTATTATTAACAACAGACATAGTATATTAAGATATGCTAAATTATGATATAGTACAGACGAGACGAGTACGGTAAGAGTTATTAAGTTAGTGTTAACTAATAGTGTTATCAAACGGCAAAAAAAAGTGAGACAATTCAACAACAAAATTTACAGGATTTACAAGAATAAAAATTTGTCCATGAATAAAAGTTGAGGCATCATTTAGACATTTCGCCTCCTAACAAAAAAGAATGTTAACACATGAGTATGAAGACGGTTATAGTATTTTTAATAATCTATATATTTTTAGGCTAACTCGAATTTAGAACTGGTTGATTCTCGTTGAAATGTGTTATGACTAAACAGTTGAATGGACATCTAAAAGTAAAGCATTGTCCCAAAGTCTGGTGTTTACCTGATAATTGTAATGATCATTGATCAATTAGAAGAATATACTACTCTTTGTATCAATTTGAGAATCCCAATGACTGTTTAATTGATACAAACTTGACTCGCATTGAATTTAGGAATAATCAGCTCAAACTAGTGAATTTCATCAACGCCACAATGTCAGGTCCGGTTAATATGACGACCACAAATGGACTGACGTCATAATATGTATAACAGTATAAGCTTTTTTCTCTAAAAAAGAAAGTTCGTAACAGTAGCGCGCAGGCCAGCTGCACCATTACTCCATTAGCCGCCAGGTTCTCCAATCTCCACACAGAGACGGGCAAACGGAAAAGTTCGTCCTCTTCTCCTTGAATCGGCTTTCTCCCAACTCCCGGCTGCTGCTGCTGAATCCGCGAATCTCCGGTTGCGCAGCCATGTCGTCGATCGCAAGATTGAGGCCAGCTCTTCTTCTACTTTTACTGCAATTCTGTCTCTCGGTTCTATCTCCTGCGCTTGCGATCTCAACTGGGTAGGCTTCTCTCTCTCTCGTCTTCGTTCCCTATCTCTGAATTGCTTCATTGTATTCGATCTACTTTATCAATACCACAGCCTACAAAAATGTTAGGTTTCCAATTCGAGTTTGACAATCTGCCATTGCGATGTTGTCGCCAGGTTCTAGCTTTGGTTCTTGCCGATTGAAGAATGAAATTTAGGGTTTAGACTTGGAGTGATAGTAATTGATGACCTTGTCTTCGTTGCTCTTCCAGGTCAGTCGATGGTCACACCATCAATGGCCGAATTAAGATCCCAGGTACGTTGTTGATTCTTTTTGGCCCCTCTTTTTCCAATGACATAGTACCAATATTTGTTGATTTGTATAGCTCAAAGCTCAGTGGGAGCACTATGTGCTGTGAATTTTACGAACTTATTACGTGCATAAACGTGTCAACAAGTAGTGTAGGGCACATGCCAATGGGGAGCACTGCCTAAACAGGGCAGAGTGGTCGCCTGAACTTAGTGTCTCGATGAGTTTAGTCTGAATTAGCTGGGTAAAATGCTGACGAGTTGCTGTAGTTTCTCTGTTCCGATGCTGAATCACGGCTTTAGGTATGGTTGCAATGTGAATGATATACCGATACTTCTAAGATCACATTTCCATAGTGGCGTGAGATTTTCTTTTCAATCATGGTTTCTGAATTGTGGTCGTAAGGTAATTGATGTACTGATAACTGCTAAACTGTTCAAGAATTGTAAAAGGAGAGGAATATAGTGTCAATTTGGATACTCCAAGTACAAGAAGTGTTAATGCAGCTAGTAGGTAACTGAGCTAGTCGTAACTCGTAAGAATGAGGTTGGATAAGATGAGTTGTGAGAATGAGAGTGAAGGCAGGTTTGTCGTTATTACTAAGTTTAGTTTTTTGAATGATAGGATGCAGAATATATGGAAGTAGGGTACTTGAATCCCTCTTTCACATGTCAATCCCTTACTTTAGTTTACTGGACCTCTATTTCACATGTAACTGAATTGGAGATGATGTTTTTGTTTCATATGTGCAGTAGCAATTGGTGCTCTTGGGAAAATATCAAATGTCAAAGTGATATTGAATGGTGGACAAAATGTTACCTTTCTGAGACCTGACGGATACTTCTCATTGTATGGCTCTCTACTTTCTTTTGTTGCGTCTATGCTTTATTTTCATCAATATTCTTTTTTTGTTGTTGTTGTTGTGAAATATTGTCATCCGTTCAATTTTGATACCTTCCAGTTTTCTCAAGCAATATCATTCACCTATTTAACTTTTAGTATCGTTATATTTAAAAAGTACCCTTATGCATTGTTAACTAAGGAATTGATGCCAATGGCACTTCTTCCTTCTGTGTAGCCATAATGTTCCAGCAGGGACACATTTGATTGAAGTTTCAGCAACTGGCTATTTCTTTTCTCCGGTGAGAATTCCCGTCTGCAAGTTGAGGTTTGTTTTTAATCATTGTTATGATGGAGCCCTTCTCATGGTGAGACATCTCTGGCAATGTTCAGGTCCGAGTTGATGTTAGTGCCAGATTCCCGGGCAAGGTTCAGGCAGCATTGACTGAGAACAGAAGAGGTCTGACTGAGTTGGTGTGGGAGCCATTAAGGGAAGAATATTACTACGAGGTTGCTCTCTGCCTTGGCCTTTCTGACTCTTTACATTTGTTTTCTAAACTATTCGCTGATTATCCATTTTCTTCAACTTATTGCAGATTAGAGAACCCTTCTCCATAATGTCACTAGTCAAAAGCCCCATGGGACTCATGATAGGATTTATGCTTGTTGTGGTGTTCTTGATGCCCAAATTGATGGAGAACATGGGTAAGTACTTGCTCCCAATTTTCAGTTCCAACTTCCCCTGAGATTGCCTTTTTAACGTTAACGGAACTGACTGTTCTACTAAACACACTTGACTGACTTCATCCAAACTTGCTAGTAGATTGTTTCGAATATCTCCGAGTGATTTGGCTGTAGTAGATGGCAATTGCTACAACGACATCTATATAGAGCTGAACCTAACGTTTTCTTGCATCTTGAAACAGATCCCGAAGAAATGCAGCGAGCACAAGAGGAAATGAGGAGCCAAGGCGTTCCCTCTCTGGCGAACTTTTTGCAGCCAGCTGCTACTGCTAGGAGTGGTTAGAGATTTTACTATTGACTGATTTCAATCATTTATGTTCCAATTCGGCCCTGGTTGATCCCAAAGTCAACTATTATACGAAAATTATGTATCCCATACCGTTGCGAAAATTTCATAGTCACTGGGAATGCAAGAAACTATAGAATAGCGTAGTTCTCATCTTCAAATGAGTGTTCTGTTTCTGTAAGGAATACCAGCCCCTATTCTAATGTTGCACGAGAGAGATTTAGTGTAAGAAAGTTGAGTATAATAGTGGCATGTTGGTTGGGTACAGTAGAAGTTGAAGGTGATTGAATTCCGTCGC